AAAGCGAAACGGCACTTTGTGCTGGTGTCTCTACCTTTTAAATTTCAAGCACCCTCAGTTCACATCCTGTCACAGGAACGGCTGCACAGGAAGTGGCACAGTAATGGATTTGAGCTGTCTAGAATATTTCTCCACCCCTTGCCTCTCCCTCACAAAAAGATCTCTGCTGCATACATAAGAGTGCCCAAAAGTGCCCTAGAATATGGTCCCCTGGGACCAGCTGCTGGTGAGGATCTGCTTTCAATGGGGTTTTCTTTTTTTCTCATTTTTTTGTTTGGTTGGTTGGTTGGTTTTGGTTTGGGGGTTTTTTGGGTTTTTTTTTGTTTTATTTTGTTTGGTTTTTTATTGTTTTGGTTTGTTTTTGTTTTGTCTTTCAGGTTTCTGGAGAGCAAGGTGATAAATAAAATTACTTCCTTAGTCCATACTCTGTGGTTAACAAATACAGGAGTCAAGAGAGAAAAGAAGAATCAATCCCAGGAGAACAGGAAACTTCTTCCTATTCAGCTTGTAAATGAATTTCTCTGTGTTTTGGTCACGTTAATCAAACATATTCGGTAAGTGCTCTGTTTTGTTTTTTGTTTTAGTTGGTTTGCATTTCATCCTCTGTCCAGTTCAAACTTTATTAGGGCCAGGAGGATTTCTTTATCTCTGCTAGATGGATGGCTTTTTTCTCCTTCAGTTTGTGTGTTGAGTAGTGAATTTGGGTGAGATTTCTTTGACGGGAGAATTTAGGTGTTTCAATACATGGGGAATAAAGTGAAATGTGATGCACAGTTGCTGTCAAGTCCTTCGTCCTTAATTCCTGGCCATTCTGACAGTAGGGATTAAGAGCTGTACTGGTGAATTAGCATGCATGGCACTTGTGTTTTCTTTTGACAGGACTAACGTAGATCTGGCCAGGCTGACTGAGTTGTTTGGCACCCTCAGCTCTGTGCTGGAATACCGTGCTGTTGTTGTGGAGGCTTTTAGGGAGATGAGGCGTTTCACGGTCAACGACAGCGTCCTCTCCAGCACGGAGCTGCTGCTGCTGCTGCACAAGTGGAGCCTTGTCAGCAAGGACCTGCAGCTGCAGGAGGACCTGCAGGCCCTGGCTCAGAAGTACCAAAACAAAGAATTGCTCAGTAAGTGCTGAAATAGTTCAAGGAAGGCATATTTTGTTGTAGCTGTTACAGACCAGCAGTTTAATGAGACAAACTTCTCTGGAAGTAGTCCTGATACCTTCTGTCAGACTGATGTACCTTGAGGGAGGAGGAAGGGAAAAGGAAAGGCGTTTTTCAGATCTTCCTTGTGGTGACTTTGAACCTTACCACAATTTGGAAGCTTTGGAGAAACACAGTTTATGAAGGGACGGAGCTTTACAACGAAACTTAGTAGTAAATCAGGCTTGGAGTCAAGCTTTGAAAAAGGGTTTTTTTAATGAAATCTTGAAAGAAAAAACAGTGCCTGGAGGCTTTGTGCTCAATGGTGTGAGTCATTCTGAGCGTGGATGAGAATCTGAAAACAATGTGTAAGTAAAAAAAATAAATAAATAAAGCAAGTGAATGTTAATAGTTGGCATCTCTTGTTGTCGCCAGTTTTGAAGAAATGAAAAAAAGCCAGGACTTGTGTGACTTCTCTTGTTGTCTCTGTGAACAAAAAGTGCAAGTAACTTGGGACTGGGAGGTCTTAAAACAATGCTAGTTTCCTGCAGCAGCAGCTGCTTTTGGTGCACATTAAAGCTTCTGTAGGTTTGTTTAAATGTTCTGTATCAGTTGAGAAAGTATCATGTTTTTAAGGGATTCTATAAAAGCTTTAGCTTTTCTACAATTTTTTCACCCTTTAAAACTCCTCAGAAAGGCCTGAAGAGGGTTTCTGGAGTGATGCTTGTAACTTACTGCATGTGTGGGTTGTGTTGCTCCAGCCTTCAGGATCTTCTCTCGTCTCCAGGCTGAGCGATCCAGTTTGGAGCAGGGCTCCAGCCTGGAGTCCCCGGGAGCTCCCAGAGCCCCTTTGAACAGCGCAGGCTCCATGAGGCTGCTAAACAAGGCTGGTACTTGCCATTGTAACGACTGAATCAACACAGGAGAGCACCTTACTTGCACAATTTTGTACCAGAAAAATCCTTTGGAGTATCTGATGTTTGTTTTGGTGGTGGTTGTCTTACAGAAAATATTAAAGACACAAACAAACCTCAAGGCTCATCTCATGTGTTTCGTCACACTCGGAAGAGGATCGAGGTGGAAGATGACGACACTGCTGCAGATGTGAAAGAGGCTGAGCTGGAGAAATGCAGAGAACATCTGAATTCCATACTTGCCCACTGGGACCCTGTTTTCCCAGCACCACCCTCCACACAGGGAGGGGAGACTCTCAGAGCCGGTGCACCTGGGGGTGAGGCAGTTCCTGTCACCTGTGCATCCATTCAAGTTGTCACTAAGTGGCTGGTGAGGTCCCTGGCTGGGCAGAGCTCCCTTGGGGAGCAGGACGTGTCCCCCGTGCTGAGGTGGCTGCGGGACCGCGTCCTACCACAGCCGGCGGCCGTGCGGGAGATGCTCAGGGACGAGGCACTGAGGAACAACCTCTTCAAGCTTTACACCCGGCTCTGCCAGGCCAGCAGCAGCTCAGCTGGGCTCTCCAGGCAGCTCGGTGCGCTCAGTTCCGTCATGCTCCAGCTCATGGAGGAGCAGGGCGTGTCCAGCACCTTCCACGAGCTTGTGAAATCTCTGTGCCTGTCAGCAACGGTGGAAGAGGATGTGGGCAAGACAGGTGACTCTTCTTCTTCTTATCACTCATGTTATGAGGCAGTGGTGGGAGATACTAGGAAATTGCATGGCTTTTTTAATCCATTAAATCGGTTCTCCCATATCCACCCAGGCTCATGGCTTCCAAAAGCAGAAGCAGTGTCTTTGGTGGGATGGGGGCAGGGATTGGGGGATTGGGCTGCACAGAGCGTTGTCACACTGGGAGGTTTTCTGACACTACAACACTCCCACTCCCTCTAAGAAACTTCCCTTTCAAGGACTAAAATGGAACAAAAGGTATGGAAGGAATATAATTCCAAGAGGGAAAATAGCATGCAAAAAACCCCCAAGTCCATGCAGGCCTGGATGCTGATCCCTATTGCTGGTCAGTGAGAGCATCTGACAGGTCAGATTTCAAACTGCTTTATTTGACAGGAAAATGGTTTGTTCCTTCTTGTGAGCAGGATCGTTGGCTTTGCATGGGCAAAGCCACTCCAGATTTTCCAGCTAGGAAGAGAGTTAGCAAACTCTTTTAAAACATAGTTCTGGAGGTACCTAGCAGCTTGATTTGGTAATACTGTGTGGAAATAGAATATCTGTTCTGATTTTCCTCTCATCTTTCTTCCACAGCTGTTTCTGTATTCCTGACTTCCATTTACGTCGGGGACATGTGGCTTGGAGCACAGGAGCCAGATATGTTACTTACCCATGTCAGATTGGTCTGCACTAGTGCAGATTATGACTTACAGGGTGACTCAGAGACTCCGAAACAAAGAGAAGAAACTCTTATGTCTCTTTGCAAAAAAATTTGGCTACATCAGGGCAATAGTTCAGGGGACTAACACTTCATCTTTAACTTTCTTTGCTCTGTCCTCCTCACCATGAGCCGTGAAAGCCTCCTGAGCTGTTCTCAGACCTACCTTGTTTGGTCAAAAAAAAATCAGTATTTTATTAGTGTGTGCAAACTCAGGGGGAAGGTTTTATTCAACATCTCTGAGGGACATTCAAGCTCCAGTTTCTTTTTTCTTGAAAGTTTGAGACAATACTACTTATGTAATTTTTATTGCAAACATTTTTATCTTTTTGAAGAAGCAGAAAGACTGTTTGTGCATGTGTGTGCCCCTAATATCCATCCTCTCTCTAATACAGGATGGGAAAAAAGGTCTGCAGACCTTCCTACAATGGGGTGCAAGTGCAAAGAACAAGGAGGCAGAGGTTTAGTCACGATGATTTACTTTTTCCTGAAGACCCTGGTTGATTTCATGATACCAAAATCCGTATGAATAGAACACTGGACTTGGGAATCAGGACGGTCTTCTTGGATTTAAAAAAGCTTGAATGCCACTTCAAGACATTTATATCAGACCTGGTTTGTTTTTATTTTCCTTTTTTTAAATTAAGAATTAAAAAAAAAAGCCCATATCCATCGCTGCTGCTGCTGCTGCTGCTGCGATGTGCGACAAAAACCTGTCTTCCCTCTGCCTGGAACAGCTGAGAGATGGAACTAAACCCCAAAGGATTTTCTGCTCAGGGATTATATGTGAGTTTTATTGGGAATTCTCTGAGAAATCTGATAGATTGTTCTTGAATGTGGCCCTGAGGGTAGTTGAGCATGGCAGTCCAGACCTGCAAACAGGCAGTGCCAGAGCGAGAGCCTTTGAAATGTAAACCAGGCTGTATTTAGATGATTGAATCACGACTGTGTGCTGTGCCCAGGTCCTTTGTACAAATACTGTACAGGGAAAAACCAGAACTGCACATTGCTTGTGATATGTATGGAATTTTGGGGGGGTTAAATAAAAACGAGATGCAAATGATAGAATTGCTTGTACGTGTAAATATTCTTGTCCTAAATGAGGCATCAG